ATAGTATCGGGGACGCCATCCTGCAGCCTATCCTCAATGGCAGTGCCACCAAGAAGGGTAAGTTCCTGCTCAATGGCACTTGAGACTTCCTCGAGCTTCACGTCACGGTCAGTGAGCGACTGCGCAGCCAAATCATGAGACTTGTTCCATTCTTGGTATTCTTCTTCACTCAACACTCTCTCGGCGACACAAAGGGTCCGCAGGCCTTCCCTAGCGAACATTTCAAGGTGCTCTGCAGTCGCCTTTCTAAGGAGTTGTTGTTGCCCACGAGCCAGGCGAGAATAGATTATACTATCGGCACCTTTGCAGAACAAGATAATTTTTCCATCGGGCATGCGAATAATTGCGCTCATCCGTTTTCTTGATGAGTTGAATTCCAAAGTGTTCAGAACCGTATACGACCGTTCTTCGCCCATAACGTTCAGCCGAATGTCGTCACCCGATCTTCCCAGCACAGTAAACCCGCAGTCTCGTGCAGTCGCGACCAGCGCTGCTTCATCAGGAGATTGAGCTTTGAATTCAATCCTAGGAGGGTCACCTGGAGTACGTTCTGTTATAACTGTATGGCATAGAGCCAAGGCAAGCATGAAATGCTCGTTGGCGGCTTGCTGCTCCTCGCCAGCGGTTCCAGAAAGGTGAGAGACGAAATCGGGAGAAACAAACGTAAGTTCTTCATCATGGAGGTAAGGATTGTCATGGATAGAACGAAGCTGTTGGAGCATTTGAACGCGAGATTTGGCAATAGTTTCATGAGCCCTTTTGGAGACTTCTTCCACGTCGATACCCTCGCGACGCTGCATTCCAGCCATAGCTTCTGTGTAGGCTTCACCGTATGAAACGCCGTTGATAGTGCATTTCTTGAATTCCATCACGTTCTGGGTCAGTGTCCCCGTTTTATCGGAGAAGATATACTCGATCTGCCCAAGGTCGTCCGAAATATTCCATGACTTGGGCGTGCAAGGATAACCAAGTTTGTCGTAAAACATGAAAGTGTCGCTGTGAATGAAGATGGCCTGTGCGGTTCGAACAATTTCCAGGGATATATAGAGCGAGATAGGGACGAGATTCTGATAGAGAATAACGGCAGCCCAGAATGTGACAAAGCCGTCGACAGGAGGCGAGCCGCCGTAGGACCCAAATTCGAAGAAATTCAAAGAATTATCTCCTTCTCCCCACGTGACACCTTGAACGATTCCAGACACAAGGCACATGAGGAACAGAATGATGAAATTGTAGATGACGTTCCAGTTCAAATCTCTGGCAAGCTTTGCTCGCTTTGTTGGTGTAGCGCCTGAATTAAGCATGATCTTTGTTTGAAGGCCGGTATAAATCACCATTCCCAAAACCCACTCAGTATTCTGTATGCTACAGCCACGGAGTAGTATATTGTTAATGGTAATTGGCTCCACCATTTCTCTCCCAGGTCCATCCGGGGAATTCGCGTCATGTTGCTTCCATTTAATCGCTCCATTGTACTCGTACAGATTTGGATGCGGAGCTTCACTCTCGATCATGAATTCTGCCTTCTCGCAGTCCCTGGCATGCTTTACGTCGCGAGTGCAATGAAGCGCTTGTCGTACCTTCAAATTTGTTTCTCCATCGAGATTCTTCGTTTCAACGTAGCAAGCCCCGTCTGGGTCAGATGTGGACAAGACAACAACATCCGCAGGAATGGGCTCTTCGTTGTAAATTCGCACGAAATCGCCCACCTGCACGTTTTTCCAGTAGTCACGCTTGAACCTTGCGGTCTGAGGGGTTTGTTTCGACTTATTTAACACACTCCCGTAGTCGCGACGCGCATGCGGACGGTCTGATGTCTGGTAAGGATCGGGAGATAGGTAGTTAGTTGAAGATGTTTGTCCGTCCATCTGCGGGTTGCGTTGGTCAAGTTTAGGTGATGGGACAGGTGTCATTTGTATGGCACCACCGTTCTCCTGGGAATCGCGATTATTGAACTGGAACGACTGTCTGAATGAATACGTCGAGTTTCTGTGTGTGCGTCTGGTATCTATAGACGGTCGTTCTCCGGCGAGGATATCGTCATCGGAAGCCGTTGCCTGTCCCCCTTTTTTCAGAGAATTTATTAACCTCCAAAACTTCACCACAACTCTGGTGGTTGCTTTCTTGGTCCTCCGCCATAACGAAACATTATCTTCAACTGAATTAACATTGTCCCATTCAACCAATCGATGAATTGGGGAATTGTTTAGCTCATTATCAAGCACGGTTCGTCTCCAGTCTTCAATCGCATCTTTAATGGCAGTAACTGTTAAAATGGAGATTAGGGGGACTGAGCTCAGCCCAGGGTTGGTGGCGCCGAAAATTGGAAAAATCTGTATTTTTAATTCACGACAGATTAGCCAAATTTAACATACTACGGACAATACGGGATGGCAAGCAAACTTACAGATAGAATAATAGTGAACAAAAAGTAAATATTTGCAATATTATGAAACTGGAACCACAAATTTTTCGGAACAAAACTTAACGGGGTATATTTTGCCGTTCTTATCTTATTCCTCGCATAATTGGCCATGAGGCGACCGTCCTCGTCCTTCACATCATCAGAAAGTGGCACGTTGCAAAATATCCTTCGAAGATTCAAATTATCAACGGAGCCTTCGTCGATGGTCGACCCCTCGCCATTTGGCAAGGAGCTAGCAGTCGATTTCCGTTTTTCGTCCTTGGAACTGACGCGACGGTGCAGTCTATCCATTATAGACCGTCTTTTTCGCGATCCGCCGGCACCCGCATGGCGTTGGGTGGCCCATCGCATCCTTCTAACGGGCTTCGAGATGGTGGCCTCATCCTCCGCGCCAAATTGTACCTCGGCCATTCCGGGCTTTTTAATACTACCTATAACATAAAACCAGAGAGGGAATCGGGTCAGGAGGATATTCCGCACATTTGCAATTGTTTAAGCAGCCGAGAAAGCTCAAGGAGTGTTCGGATGTGTCGGATTAAAACACCTCAGGGGCGGTCGAGAACAGCGAAAAACGACCAAAGAAGAACGAGACGGTGAAATTAAGAATATATGTGATTGAGACCTGACGACTCGACGACTCGATATAAAAGAATGGATCCGTGCTATGTAAAATGGAGGCGCTGGGCGTATTGGTAAGCCCAGACAGTGGGTTCGAGGGAGGATAGATAGTAGAGAAGACGATTGGGGTAGTTATTAATGGAAAGAGTGAATTGGTCAGCAAATCGGGGATGAAACTGACGACGTAATTGCCATGAGGCAGCCGACTACACCACAGAAAAGAGTAGAAAGAAGGCGTGATGTAAGGGATCTGGAGCCGTGAATGGTGAACCAGTATAGGACACCGTGAACAGAAGACGGGGAGGGGAGTCCGTGTTGAAGTTCGTCTGGGTAGGGTAGTAAGTAAGTAGTGGTAGTGGTAGTGGTAAGTGGTAAGTGGTAGTCGCTGAGGTGGAAGGAAGGAAAAGCACAGCCAGGATTAGAATGATGCCTTGCGTGCCTGGTACGGTACAGTACAACAGTACAAAACCGTATGTATGGTAAATACGAGTCATCAGTCATCAGTCATCGGACGCTGGCTTAGTTAACCCGGGCCGGAACTCTTAAGTAGCTTTCTTTTTTCACCCCCATCGTCATCCATGGGCCAAACCGGTGAACTCCTGCACGGCGGGCCCTCGGAACTGGAGGGGGGGATCTCAGCCACTTCGCCTCCACTCTCTACAGTTCTGTGGTTCGATCGCCTTATATTTTTGGTTGCTCATCGGACATATCTAGGAAGAACCGAAACCGCGAGGTTAAGCCCATCATCATAATAATAATAATAGGGGAACGGATCGGCCGCGAAAAGTTCTACCCCGTCCTCAGGGATCAAACATGGCTGATTGTTATTTTACGCTGTAGTTACGGAGTACGGAGTATTATAATCAGAACGAGGGTTCTCTGCTGGCGCGTCTCTGACTCTCTGCTGGCTTGCCCCTTTAACGTTTTAGCAGCCCGCTAGCAATCCGTGTTAGCGGCACCAACCCCAGGTCGGCTCCTTCATGACAGACAAAATACATCACCGCAAGCTCCTATAATATTATTTCATATATCTTTGTTCGTCAATAATATATAATTTTTATAATCATAAACACCTGCCTATTCGCGTCGGGCAGATACAGACGGTTCTCAGATGCTTGGAATAGTATCGCATCGTGCTACCGGTTAGGCCATGCTGTGTTGATACCGCAATTTTACACCAAGGAGTGTCCTCGATACCATCGCAATTTACTTTTGTGGCTGAGGTCCAGCCCAGGTTCCATGCCCAGCCCAGGTGAAAGGAGTTTCTGGTCTTGTGGTGACTTGCCTGGGGATCTCGTGGAGACGTCGGAAGGCGGATCATCTCCAAAGAGCGGCTGCAAGAGTTATGAACAGACTGGCAACAACCATGGATGTAACCTTGAGTGCTGAACGTCGTCGCCAGAGGTGGAGTCCGGGTCGGGGACATGGCCGGTGAATCCACACTGGCGATCAGGATCCCAATTTATCCGACAGCTGCCCAGCACTCGAGAACTTAGCGCCCGCAACGGTGAAAATGAAGAATCCATACAGAGTACATGAGAAAGCGATTAATCCAGATAACTAAACTATTCCTTCACTGCAAAATCGCCTTGATCTCAGCTGATGGGGATTACATGCATGGATGCAGGGAAAGTAATACATTGGAAAAGAAAATGTCCTTTCTCAACCGTGGAACCTACTAGATTGCCAGCATGTTGTTGACAAATGCTGTGGCTTCATATGAATGAGAGTCTGCTTCGCCCTGCAGCAGAACTCCGTACGAAGCTTTATTAACTACGGAGTACTAATCATGCCTTTGCGCACCCACACCTGATGTTGGGTTGTGCCACACTGTAATGATAAAAACAGTGTAGTGATAAAAATGAAAGTATGTATCTGTTTTTCAGATTTGAGAAAATGAGATATTCGTATGAAAAAAATATTATATTCATTATATTATTTGAGTAGTTCTAATCTTTTAAATTTCAATTTCATGCTCATATCTAAGATGTTGATGAAGATATTAAAGAAAATGATGTTTGTATAACTATGTGATTCTCATATAGAAGATACGTACTTTTCATTTTTATTGTTATGCAAAGGCCATTGATTGATTGGAACCTTGGAGACATGAGAGTCACGTGGTATAAATTACAACCTTGGAACCTTCAGCAGATCATTTTCTGATACTCACAACCTAGAATTTGCCCAAACAGAACCCCGCCAACATGTAGACGTTGCAATCCACTGTGGCGATCTCACAGAGGGGTCTACATTAGAGGAGTTCCACCTTACCATAAAGCTCCTAACAAATCTCAACGCACCCCTCAAGCTTGTCATCGCAGGAAACCATGACTACACTCTGGATATTCCTTTCTGAGTTGGACAACAGGCCAAGTATCTTGACCCAGCACGAATTAAGAGAGCCTACGGCGACTTTGGAGAGGCGAGGCAGCTCTTCGGCAATGATACTGCCAGATCCGCCGGCATCGTATTTCTCGAGGAGGGAACCCACCATTTTACCTTAAAAGAATGGCGCATCGTTGACTGTCTATGCTAGCCCTATAACACCCTCATGTGGAGGCTGGGCGTTTCAATACCATACCAGGCTGGGATATACATTTGAAATCGACAACGGCGTCGACTTGGTCATGACCCATGGCCCACCAAAAGGTATCCTGGATCGCACACTGTCAGGCGCCAGGGCGGGTAGCACACATGTCTTCGAAGCCGTTTCCCGCGCTCGACCACGGTTACACTGTTTCGGGCACATTCATGAAGCCTGGGGTGCGAAGCTCGTTACATGGCCACCGGTAGATTAGATGACTGCACCCCCTTCATATTTAGCTGATGTCGGTGAAGAGCGTTTAGTTTTGGTGGTAGATCTATCGACATTAAGAGGTGGATTGAGATCGGAACCTGGTGGGCCTGAAAGTTTAGAGGGGAGTGGGGATAAGTCGGGGAAGTGTGCTAAGACGTGCTACGCAACCAGTCATTGTTCTGGAGATGCCTATCCTATTGCAGCGGGCTCGCAAACGCTCTTTGTAAATGCATCCATTAAAGGTGTGGATGAGGATTATCCGTCGCACCTGGCATGGCTGGTTGACATTGACCTTCCAAGGGCGAGCTAAGATATTTTCCAACGAGCTCTCCTGAAGCATCATCAGAATCTGATATAGCGCCTGCATTCACTTGTGCGCTCTCGCAACAAATGGAATGGCCCATACATTGAGCTAACTATTTGTGGTGAATTTCTGAAAATGGCGATGATCCTGCTTGAGGAAATCTCCTACCTCCAAACTTGCCACCTGTCTGATGTACTCGGAGACAACCCCAAGCAACTTCCGTTGAAAAGTCAAAATGTATTGATCACTTCCTGGCCCGTAACCGGGGAAAGAGGGCCACCAGCACTACAACGATAAATGAAAATGAAGAGAGAAATAACAATAGGGATTGTCTACGATTCCAAGATTCTAATGATGATCTAGATCCATGGATGCTTGGGAGTGCGCTGTTTCAAGGTCACATAGTACACAGCTGTACAAGTCACTATTTCCATATCTCGAGGCACATTCACACTATTATTAACGTTACGAAACATGAAAGCATGGTGTAACTAGCTCCAAAAATAAAAGCAAAAGGAAAGTTCAGAACTTGTGGAATATTTTTCTATTTTCTCGAGCTCGTCGGGCCAAGCATATCAGAGATATTCAGATTAGCAATCTTCATGTCGCCGGTAACCAGTCAAAGCCAGCAGATTAAATACAGGTAGGTAGGTACATGGTCTCAACACCAGCATCCAGCACTCTTTGCGAGATCAATCGTCAGCAACGCGCCGCCAGTAATCGAATAATACACTTCTAAACTCTAATACAGGTGTTGCCTGTTTACCATGTAGCCATCTGATTTTATTATCAGGTCCCGAAATCTCTAAGAAAAGCCGAAAATAAAAGGTGTCGTACAGGTCTATACAGCTCTCCGATCAATATAAAAATAACTCTCCCCTCCATCATCGTCGTCATGACGCACCGTGCTTGTTTCAGCCATTTCCAACCGCAGATACACAGGCGGATGTGAAAGGCCTCGATCTAGCCAACCAAGAGCGTTATTTAACTCAACAACGCAATCCGAACATTATTGATCTGCATCGAATGTCTCGTACTCGGATCTCTGCTTCAATCCATTGTCGGGATGAATATTCCAATTAACACCACGTGATCTCGCGACCTGGACGTACTTCGTCTGGCGCGTCTGACCGATGACAGACCGCCACAACAGCATCATGATCTCCACCGGCCAGCTTGTCGCCAAACGATGTCAACCAGCCACAACACCCCCAGAAGGCATCCGGGTAGTTCCGTTTCCAGACAGAGTCCTTGTCCCCAAATAGGGACTCCAAGTGGCGGATTAGAAGACGATAACGCATCTGCGGCTTCAACCTCTCCGCTATCATCCCCGCCCGCATCTGCGTTGTCAACTCCCGCCTTTCGCTCTCCCATTCCCTTCAGACGAGGGGGATCGCAGATAAAGGATGCGTCAGACTTCTCCTCAATCTCTCAACAAGCCGGCGATGATACATTTTCCGACAGGACCCTGCCACATAACCAAACATCCGAACCTCGGGATGGCCAACATCGGTTAACGCACTCATTCAACGCCAGCTTCGGTTCCTCATCCCAGCGCATTGTAAGAGATGGCGAGGTGATTGTCACGAATTCCGACGGGGATACAGAATCACTCTCAGATCTAGAAACGGCGGATGATCTATTGGCCCAATTTCTAAAGAGACCGATCTTAGCGTCCTCCCCCGACATTTCGTCCCATTCTCACAAGCCTGGGAGGGACACTTCTGGCGTCAGGGTGGCAAGCAGACGTCAGCAATACCCCTCAGGCCGTAGCTCTGCGAAGCTCAATGGCCGTGATGATTTGCCGAAGTATCAATTTTCCTTGGACACGCTTGTCGCAGACGCTGCCAATGATAAGGCAACCGAAGCCAAGGTTGCGAAAATAAAGCAGAGCCTACGCCCTAAAGTCAAACCTGAAAAGCCCCGGGGAGTCCTACGTCATGACCTACTAGCCGCGGCCGTCGAGGACGAGACGGATACAAAAGGGATCCAGCGACTCAAAGATGCAGTTGAGCGGACGGAAACATTTGCGACGGGAAGAAGCTGGTTGTTCTTCGATGAAACACTGCCAGAGGTACCACGACTGAAGTTTCCTTCGGGGTGGATACATCCTGGGTTGTGGGAAGTTAGTCTAAAAGGTTAGAACTTTTTTTCTTGTTACAAATTTGGCGAGCATTTTTATTAATTCTCATTCTAGATACTAGCAGGCGTGGCCCAGCATTCTACTCTGGAATTGTAGCGAATAGGTTTTCCAGCAAGCCCCTGCCCAATGAGATCTTGTTATGGTTGATGCAAACCAGTTCGTTTATCCCATTCTATCATTGTAATAGGTTTGTTTGTATATTAACAGGTTTTCACCAGTTCCCCTGGAGAAGGACGGTTACATGCGATCAGCAAATGTCACAGTATTGCAGGCATGCCTCATACAATCCTCAATACGTGAAAGAAATACCGCTGACCATTCTAGGAATTATCCTCGGCGCGCATATCATCCCTAATAACCCCAAGCGATATTGATCAGCTTTTCCAGAGGCTCGGAGCAAGACCAGCTGCGTTAGCTGTTTCTACTAGTCTACAACCCGATTACCATATCTCCGATGGTAAGTCGTTGATGCTTTTGTTACAATGCGCTCTCGTAGTTAATGCTTGTACTAGAATATTGGAATCGGGATAATCGAAACCTCTTATCGGTATTAGAGCTCATACGCGTACTATCAGAAAAGTAAGTAGCGCGATGGTCCCGCATAGCGGTGATGATAGCCATCTAATTACTTTAAATCAGGTTCAACGACGACACTCTTCAACATACCCTTAAAATAATCCTCCGACTTGCCATAGACGAGGCAGCCATGACCGATTGCCTCGTCTGCGTTGAAGTACAGAATTTCATAGTAGCCCTCTTGGAAAATCCGATTGCAATACCAGATCCAGCAGTAAGTGTTATGCATATAGCTAGCTCACTACCCCTCGTGCAACAAAACCGAAAACTTACCAAAACATACCCTCTCAGCTCCATAATCTCTCCCTGCATCTCTTCAACACTATAAATGACATCGAACTCCAAAACCAACTCCTGAAGCACATCCTCCCCACAAGCCCTCGTCTCGCCCTCTTCCGCTGTCGCCTCGCCTGGGCGTGGTTCTATCGCGACCCTTCCTTCCTCAACAGGCCGAAAACCCAGCTCTTCGATCTCCCCGGTCTCACCAAACATCTCAAAAATGACCCACGCTTCGACACAAACATACGCTCCAGCGGGTCCAACGACAGGTTCAACTTTTGGGAGCTACACGCACTGGTTTCCATCCTAGATATCGCCATCGATTCCGGCACAGCCAGACCATCATTTGTGAATAAAGACGGCCAAGTAGACAGGCGGAGCGAGCATCAATTCAACGCCGCCGTAGACGACCTGGCGGATTGTATCAAGGCAATGTTTTCGGCAATTAGGGATTCGGGGGCGTCGCACCTCCGGAGATCGGAGACGAGGGAGCGGTTGCAGGCGTTGTACTATCGACTTGAGTATGGGGTGCGGACGAGGCTGAGGCCGGCGAAGCAGTGGTATGTGAGGACAGAAGGGCAGAAGAAGGAAGCAGAGAAACATCCGGTGAAAGTGAATGAGTTGTTCGCCGCACAGTGGGGTGCTGGGAAAGGCCGCGCGAACGGTTTACAGTAAAGATAAAATCAAAAACGTACGAAGGTATCGTTGGTTGATTTATTTAATGATTGTGATACTTCCAGTGAGGTAACTATATATTAATTTTACTTGGTAATGCAATAAGATCTAGTATTAGGTATGGAATGGAAATGGATGAAGCCGTGGGATGGACCCGTTCAGAGGACGGGTATCTATACTTCTACTATTACTAAAAAAATTGTCTTCCCCCTGCAAGAAATCATCATGAAAGACCTGATGAATGGTTGTAGAACAACAAGATCAAACATCCAAGTACAGATATGCACACGTAAAACAAACCATGACAGCGCGTCCCGGCTTCGCGGAGGGCGGAAAAAGCGCCTCCTCGACCTGATCTAAATAACCCACTACAAATATACGTATATATTGATAACAAAAAACTAGGACAGAAATTCAATGACGCCATCGCCATAGAAGACGATATTAGTAAAACAGAAGAGCGATAGCCGAGCCAAGAAAGACGTCGAAAGCTCGTGCGACAACGACACCGTCCGTACACTAGTTCGAAACGCAAGCTGTATCGATGAATGCATGCATAAAACCAGTGGCTAGAAGGAACGAACCCCGTCAAGGACACACAGGAATACGACAAGGAAAAAAGGAGAGAGAAAACAAAAGAAAACAAAAGGTATTTAAACATGACAAAAGCCAAACAAAAAAAGAGCTGTAGGCCGTCTAATCATAGAACTTGCGGTTCTTGTTCTTGCCGAATAGTGTTTCTCGCACAGCGGGAAGGGCATCGATTTCAAGTAACCGCAGCCTTTCTTCGAAGGTGTTGTTGATGTCGATTTTTCCCGCGGTGCCGATGATGAAGACGCCTCCGGCCCTGGAAAAATTGGAGAAAGGGAGTTAGCAAAAATGATGTAAGACAGTGGGAAAGTGCTCCGCGAAAGAATAAGAAAAAAATCCCCGATTATCAGCAACAACGAAAGGCAATGGGGAAAAACCTACGATTCTTCGGGCAGGGGATCGTTTTCCAGAATGTCAACCGCAACATCCTTTCCAGCTTTCTCCTTAAACTCATTCCTGGCATCCTCAATCGACTTCTTAACAATATCATAATCCTTCTTCCGCGCCCTCACCTCCACCTTCCTCTCATTCAAGGCATATAATCCTTCCAACACTAGACCCTTCAACGTAGCCCGATACCCATCCACATCCCCACCTTTCCCCTTCTTGGACCCCTTCGCGTCCGTAGCCGCATCTGCCAATTGCTCCCTGGCCTTGTCAAACAGCTCATCCAGCAATTCCTGGCGGGCTGTAAGGAGGCGTAGACGAGTTTTGTTGGCGAGGGTGGAGCGGGTGATTTGTTGGGACATAGCAGCCTGTTTGAACTTCTTTTCATAGAGCAGGTCGATGGCTGCGGTCTCTTGGCGGACGAGTTTTGATTTCTCGATGGCAAATTCCTCGTCGGCTTTGAGTTGGATTTCGCGGGCTTTTTCGAGCGCTTCTTGCCGGATGAAGGCGGTCATTTTGCGGAGTTCGCCCGCGACCTGGCCGTTGGGGGGGAGTCATGGTTAGCTAGGCGTGAAGCTTTCTCTGCTTTACCTTAGCCGGGAAGACCTACCTGATCGTCTGAGAGAGCATGGCTTTGTGACATTTTGGCGGAGGGACCGGGGGAGGGGGTGTGTGAAGCTAGTAGTATGGGGCGATTGGGGGGGGTACGTGATAGATGTATGAGGTAGCTACGTCGCAACAGGTAACGGTATGTTATTCAAGGATTTCTAGTAGAAGAAGTCGAAGCGTATTCTCAGCAGCAACAAGCAGAGGCAATAAATAAAGGAGAGTGTAGAGTTATCTAGCTGTAGCTGTAGCTGTAAACGTTGTGTTTAGTCTGCAATCTCCATCTATGAGGTTTTGGTGATTGTGATGTTGCTGCGGCTCCTGATCATCTGCCCCAGTCCAGGCTAGCGTTGTTCCTGGCCAAGCAAGCATCCATCAACGGCTCTTAGACATACATACGAGACATCCTCATCTCATCCACATCTGCATCTACGAGCTTGTTTGTGCTCCATAAATACCTTTCATCCAATGCTAGTAATGTTCTTCCCCTACACATAGCATTTGTTAGTCGATGCC